TGCCTAGCACCCCGGCTAGAGCTGTCACTCCCACACAAGGAGGAGAGCTAGCTAGTCCAGCATCAATCAGATCCTGGACAATCCCGCGCATAACCACGGAATTAAGGAGACGACAAATCCCCTACCCCGCTACAGCAAGGAAGGCAGAACTTTTCAAACTGCTACGCACATCAACTAATAACATGGAGGCCGGGGAAGGATCTAGCCAGTCCAACCCAGGGGACATACATGCCATGTTATCCTCACTCATGGCATCCATGGGCAAGGTCAACTCCAGGCTGGAGAAACTTGAGTCGGTCACCACGGCCCTCACTCTAGCAGGGCCACCCGCGGCTGCGGTACAAACACCAGCCTTGCCATTAGTCTCTCCAGCCAGCACCCTGGATAACCAGGAAGTTAGCCCGGCCCACATGATATCTGAGCATATCAAAAGGGATATCCTGGAAGGTAAAGACGTCAACCTGGCTTCCCTGTTGATTGCCTCCCAGGACATTGTGGAACATAAGACGTATGCTTATGATGATGTTTCTGTTATTGTCAGATCTAGGGATGCCCGCCTGAACAGAAAACTGACTATCCCTGAATTTGTACTAGCGTTTGGTATTTACAGGGATGTCATCTGTGCGGTTTATCCCAACAGAAGAGAGGAGTTTGATCTCTATATGCACAAGCTGGTAGACCTGGGCAACAAATATGGTGGTTCGGCATTCTATGACTACCATAGGTCTTTTTCTGCAAAAGTGGCTGGAGCCTTCTCCCAGTACGGAACACGATCCAACTGGGGAAGGATTGATACCGTCTTATTTTGCAGACACTTTGCAGGTCTAAGAACACCAGCTTGTGCATACTGCTCCTCCACAGCCCATACTACTAATTTTTGTCCCAACACGGCAGACGGACATGCCTCCACACAAGGAACTAGTTCCTCTGGGGATCCAGGGAAACTATCGAAAGACAAATTGGGGCGCCCAATCAAGTTTCTGGGCAAGTCCCAAATATGTAATAATTTCAATGTTGGGTCTTGTAATTACAGTGCATGTAGACTATTGCATGTCTGTTCAAAATGTTTTAGGGCACATGCAAAGACCATGTGTCCAAATAAAATGTATTCCAAGCCTTACCTTACCTCCATTAATATGCCAGTATTCACAACATTGATGTCTCAGCACCCATCTAGACACCTGGTAGACTTTCTTATTTCTGGTTTAACAGAAGGCTTCCACACAGGTATCCTACACATACCAGCTGGAACTCTGGAATGCCCTAACCTACAATCCGCCAAACACAACCCCACAGTGGTTGACACCCTCATAGCCCAAGAAGTGGATGAGGGCTTTGTATTGGGGCCTTTTAGAACTCCTCCATTCACAGAATGGCGCACCAACCCTATTGGTATTGTCACAGGGAAATCTTCCCAAAAACAGAGACTCATTATTGACTTATCGGCTCCCCACTCATCGGCCAACCCCAGTCTTAATTCCCTCATACCCTCTGAGGAATTCTCTCTGCAATACACCACCATAGATCACGCCATTACAGCTATCATACAAGCAGGAGTTGGAGCTTAGCTCAGTAAGACCGACATTACTAACGCCTTCAAATTACTCCCTATCCACCCCACACTGTGGCACCTGCATGGCATCAAGTGGTCCGGGAACTACAATTTTTTCTCCCGGTTAACTTTTGGGTCCAAAAGTAGCCCAGCTATTTTCGACACATTTGCTGAAGCATTATGCTTGTTACTATTGAACATAGCCGGATGCCCTACGGTATTACATTACTTGGACGATTTCCTACTGGTCGAGGAGAATACTTCACCTCCCACTAGCCTCAAAGCTACCACTAAGCTGTTTGAGCAACTAGGTGTACCCATCTCCCCAAAGAAAACAGAAGGGCCAGACACGGTTATCACTTTTTTGGGTATCCAATTAGACTCTGCCACAATGCAAGCAAGCCTACCATACGATAAGATAGAGAATATTCTCACTTACATAAACAACTACCTACAGCTCGGCACTTGCAACCGCAAAGAGCTACAGTCCCTGCTAGGGTCACTAAATTTTGTGATGCGCATCATACCTCAAGGCCGCTCCTTTATTTCACGACTATTGCATCTTTTCCCACTTTTTCTACATGACACGCACAGGTTGTCCTTAGATGCCCAAGCTACGGCAGATCTATACATGTGGAAGAGATTTTTAACCACTTGGAATGGTAAAAGTATGTTCCTCCCTCAATTGACTGAATCATCTCCTACCATTTGGTCAGATGCGGCATCTACCACTGGTTTTGCAGCAATTTTTGGGAACGAATGGCTTTGGGGCAGCTGGCCTTCAGCAGTTCAGGATTTGGAAGGTTTTTCCACTACCTCAGCTCTTTTTGAGATCTACCCCATAGTGGCGGCTGCCGTAGCATGGGGTCATTTATGGGCTAATAATTATGTTATTCAGACAACCAGACAACCAGGCAACCTGTCACATCAACAAAGGTCGTTCCAAATCTCTTAAGATCATGAGATTTCTGAGGAAACTCACTTGGTTGGCAGCTTGTCATAATTTCTTCCTATGTTGTTTCTGTGTGCCAGGTGTATATAACACAGCTGCTGACAATTTGTCTCGCTTTAAATTTCAGGAGTTTCATCAAGCACTCCCGTCAGCAGCACCCACAGCCACCATCACTCCAACATTTCAACAACTCATACTGGACTAGACGTCATCATGCAGCATAGCAGGACATTGTCCCAGTTGGCACTTTCAAACAATACAAACAAAACATACAGCAGGGCTTTCACACTATTCAAACGATTCCTTCTGGAACATAACATCATACAACCGTTTGTTATGACATCTTTTTTGGGGTTTGCTTCCTTTTGCCACCTTAAACTCAAAATGTCATACAACACCATCAAACTCTATCTCACTGGCATTCAACACCACATGCTCATCTTACACCCAGATAACAACAGTTTCATGGCCTCTCACCAAATTAAGACCATACTCAGAGGTATTAAAAAATCAGAACCCACACATTTGGCCCAGAGGCTACCCATAGATAACCATATCTTCAAAGCATTATCTAACCTACTTGACCTAAAACCGTTTGACACTAATACGAATTCTATCATCAAAACAGCAATATACATCGCTTTCTATGGATTTCTACGACCCAGAGAATTCACTACGACCTCCACAACCCAAACCACTCCATTCCTCCTCTATTCCCACTTGACAAAACATATGGATCATTACATCCTGTCTTTACCTCACTCCAAAACCAGCCAGCACATACCTGTAAACATTCCGTACTATCCCACGCACAACAGATGGTGTCCCGTCAAGGTTCTTGATGCCTACATACAGCACCATCACTTACTGCCCTCGCAACCGTTATTACAACTACAAGGTGCAGTACTCACCACTACAACCTTCATGACCTACGTCAGGTCCTTGCTCACACAACTGGGCCTCAACGCAAACAAATACTCAGGACACTCCTTTCGTATAGGAGCCGCGTCCACAGCCTCCAGTGTCAACATCCCAACTCATGTTATCAAAACACTGGGGCGCTGGAAGTCATCCGCTTACTCACGGTACATACCGAACCCAGTACAAGAGTTAAGGGATGCTTTCATAAACATGTCTGGTTGATAAATGTATATGTATTGGTTGTCTGTTAATAAATTTGATTACTTAATTTTTGCCCTCTTCTTTCTCAGGCCTACCTCATCGTCGGTTTCGGCACACCACAACCGACTTGCTCCTTTTATCATCCTACGCTTATTCATGGTATTTCATACTGTACTATCTTAAGCACCTAACACAAGTATTAAGGCAATTTGCCTGCATTTGTGGGAGGTGCTGGTTTGCTACCCCTAGCCTACTTAAGGCACTCCCCTTACCTTGCTCCTTACCGTTCGAGGTCAGCGTTGAATGACCCTCCCACCACACCACTTTTAACATTTATTTCCTTTCTATTTCTTTTCCTGGGTGGGCCCTCTTCTTTCTCAGGCCTACCTCATCGTCGGTTTCGGCACACCACAACCGACTTGCTCCTTTTATCATCCTACGCTTATTTCATACTGTACTATCTTAAGCACCTAACACAAATATATATATATATATATATATATATATATATATATATATAAAAACTGATAGGCAACAAGCTAGGTTAGCATGTCTAAGCTTATAAGAAGCCTGGATTCCTAGATTTATAGTATTTTCTAGACATGTAGTTAAGTAATAAAAAGAGAGAAATATGGATACATGCTGTACTAATATGAGTAGTGTATACTCAGACTTGCTTAGGGAGCCACTGGAGCTCAACATATCATGCTATAAAACTACATAAAATAAACTTTGGGGACAGTTTTGCATGTCCCTGCTTTGCACAAATTCAAATATGAAAAGACAAACAAAAAGCATGGACACTTCTTAGAGGTATCATGGGGATGTAAGAAAATGCCGACAGGGTCTGTGGTTTTGCGGGTTATAACTGGCAACCAGGCCTGGACAGATGGTTCAGCGCCAGCCAACATTGGAAACATGCGGCGGCAGCTGAGCGGCACAGCGGGACAGGGGCAAAACATGGCAACCCTCCAGGCCCTGACGAGGGCCAGCATTTCGGGACCAGGGACTCTGGTTCTCGTGTCAGAGTCCAAGCCCATCCCTGTCAGGGTACAGCAAAAACTCTACGTGGGCTGCAGCCACCCGCAGCAGTGGATCTTCTGTCTCTGTGGTCGATGCTGACGGTGTATTACCTGAGTGGTTCTTGGCCTAGGTGGGTCACGGGTGAGAGGCTTATATGCTTGTAGGTAAGTTGTGCCTGGACAGGGACCACTCCGCTGGTAAAAGAAACAGGAGAGAGGCCGTCACTCTCTGGCTCGGAATTGTGCAGGCAGCAAGCCTCGATTAGGGCAAACTGGCTTTATGGGTACTCGTGTGAGGTATCCCCTGATGCGCCAATGTTCCCCCAACAAGCAGGTGGCTATGAGCGGTCAGCAAAACTGAGTGGCCAGGGAGTAGCCCCCGTTTTTCAGAACCAGACTCCGGAGTTCTTGCAGAGCAGGTCTGGTCAGTTAGGCAGTCAGTATCTGCCCCCCCAATTGTTACATGTTTGTGTGTAATGTTACGTGCAATGGGCAGCCAGCAATTGTCTGAGAATATCAACTGTCGCCATCCCAATCCTTTATCGATATCGCAGCCACTGAAACCAGTTATGAGGCCCTACAGGCAGAAACCAGGGGACACAGATTTGGTATTAAACCGTTCTAAAGCATTTTAATGCCATAAGGTAAGATGGTGCACTGGGACTCCAGTCCAAATAGCAACTTAATTGAGATGAAATTGTTTTGGGTGGTGTGTCCCTTTAAAAAATAATAATTAAAAAAGGGCAGTTTTTAATCATTTGATCATTGTGCTTGTATAGTAATTAAAGATATGTGACATGTTGAACTACTTGAAAGATATAGCTAAACACAATACTTAAAATCCACCAATTTAGTAATTTACTGTATATCAGAAATCAGGAAAATGTTATCACAAACCAAGGCAAAAATTGGTATCTAAAATATGTCGGGGAAAAATTATTAAAGCACCTCTGTGCCTAATTTGCAAAGACCCCCATAGTAGATTTTGCCACTTCCACTTGGTGGCGGGGTGCAGGGGAACATGAGTTTTGTTTACCTGAAGCTGTCCTGCAGAACTTTGCCATCTGTATCCTGGGGGACCTCCAACGATATTGTCTTGTGATGAATTAAACAATGCTTTGTTCCCCCAGATGTCACTAGCAGAGGTTGAAAACTTGAAAAAGGTAGCTCTGCCTTTTCCCTATTTTGCCATTTGTATTTTAGGAGAAATAGATTGAAAAAGAAATTATTACAGATTAGGAGTAAGGAAGAGAAGAGGAAAAGATTGAAGGAAGGTAAATCTATGCTCACAAGGTCACTTTAATCTCTCCTGAGTTGTATTCTTTGAAATAATATAATTCTCTGTCATATTAATGATGGTGATATAAATTAGATGCTTGTAATAATTCGTTAGGTGATGGCTAGCTTGTGTAGGCATTAAAGGGGATTCATACAGGAAAACCGTAATGGCTCTGGTCTATCTGTCATGCCATAATGCTGCCATCACGTTGGAATTCTTCATGTGTGAAGACAGTTGGGATGAATTAGGAGATATGAAGACTAGGGCAGTGTGAGGGCATGTGAGCAACTCAAATTGGTACCGGTGATAAAGCATTAATCTACTCCAGGATGGCTGGCACACCCAGTTGGCAGCCCACGAGGGTTGCCCAAGCATTGCAATTTTTTTGAGTACTCTTGGGATGTCCTTGAAAAGTCTAATATAGCTGCTAGCACATTTAGGTGCTGAACTTTAATGAGACTTGTTGTCTGAGGTCCCTACAAGTAAAACACCAGATTTAAAAAAATTAAAAACCTGAAGGAAGTCTAAAATTGGGGCTGGGCGGCCACGACCAGGACAGTTGGTAGACATGCTACTCGTAGATGTTTCTTGTGCAAATATGGATTGAGTCCATCACAGCATCATAATGTGTATGACCAATATTTTGAAGCCCATTTAAATTTGGGGTATATTAAAGAATACCAGTTTCAGCTTTTGCAGCGTCTTTAGTATTTGATTCAAGGAGCAGCATAAATTCCCGAAGCAAGTATAGCAACAGAGCCTACAGCAGTGGTTTGCAAACCAGCAACAGGTCCACATTTTGCCAGTATGTCCACTGGAATAGAAATTGGAAAGACATAAATCCTACACTGCTGGTGGGTCACGAGGACTGGTTTGGGAACCACTGTGGTCCAAAGGATTCTGTACCTCCTACAACTGACTGCCTTGCAAAAAACAGGAAAACTAACTGTATGAGCGAGTAAGGCCCATTCCTACTCTGTGTTCGTGTTTCCGGACATTGTGTATCCTTGGAAACTTTCATAAAACCATACCAAAAATAGTATCTTTCATTTTCCTAGAAGGGTTCGAGAGACTTTGTATTGAGACGGAAATAAATTCCTGTCCCACAATATATTAAAGAAGTATTACTAATAACTGGCTGGAAGATGCTGCATTAATCTATATGGGATTTTATTAAGATACAAGTTTTTGTAAAATGATGATTCTGCACCTTTGCTGTTGACTCTGCTATTATTTTGACACGGACCATTCCACTTTGATAATAACAATATTTTCTCTATGTCTACCACATCAGACAAAGAAAAAAAATGTTTTTAGTTGCACCCTTTAATAAGACCAGCATTAAATCAATTTCCGAGGGATTTTGCATCCCTCCAATTCTATTTGGGAGCATCCTCAGTACAGAAACCGTAAATCCAAATAGAGATATATTTAACACCACAATAAAAGAAAAGGTACGGCAGTTTCTCTTCAATCAGCTGAACGTAAGATTTTTGTTTGTATGTTTTTTTTTATTTTTGAAATGTTCATTACATTTTAATATGTATTTGTTAACGTTACCCTAGATCCAACGAATACAACAAACGATTTAACAGCATTGGTTCTCGAAAGCAGCCATTATTCACTCACTTTATTTTGATAAAAACAGACACCACATCAATTTACAACTATTTATATTATATTAACATCCTCTTCAAAAGCAAACACAAAAAAAATATATACATCAAAAGTGTGCTCTGCTTGGACAGACGGTAGTGAAATCACTTTTTTTGTTTTGTTTTTGCTAATCAACATTTTGTTGGTGCAAATGTATTCCAATCAGCAGGTCAGGTTTAAGCCACGGGCTACAGGTTTGTCAAGTGATTGCTAAGACTCCATTTCAGATACTGTGATGTTTATCTCAGCCTGCACTCAACTGCTTAACTGCTGGTTCTGTCGTTTTTAAAAAATATATATATTTTTGTATGTGTGGTTTTTGACACACCATTTTTGCAAGACCTACCCCAAACCTGTCCTCACAAGTACATGAAAGGGTAATCATTTGAACCAGTACCTACAGCCAAGCTCTCACCTATGTGTTTATAAGTATTTATATTCTGCAACTTGTTGAACTGATGGTATTGTATAACGGTTTGAAGGTTAAATTATATCGCAAGTGATACATTTTAACTCTTGTAACTGAACAGAAGTTCTCTAGAATCGAGCTCTTTATGTGCAAATATCCGGTAAAGCTTTATTCTTTAATGTTAAAAGGGTATAACGCACCATGATATCCCTTTTTCTTGAAATTTTGTATTTGACAGAAATAGCATTGGGGTTGATTCTGAAAAAATGCAATGAATTTGATTCCACATAGATGAGAGAATAGTAAAAAGGTACTTTTCCATAAAGCTATAATTAAATAAATCTGATGCTATACATTGCTGGATTAAGCCTTTAAATTATTCAATATACACTTTAATCTTGATTGACAAATGATTGACTGCATTTGATAGCGAACACTCCTTGTAATTTTTCATTTATCAAATATAAACGTTATTGGTTAAAACTGGTTTGAATCAATTTTCTTTTTACACGCGCATTGTGTTGAGTAGTTTAATTCTTACAGAATGGCTTTGTTGATTGCAATTATTTGAATACATCTGAAAGTACATTAGGGTTCTTATAAAGACTAACCTCTAGAAACCTTTAGTTTCTCTAAAAGTAAACTCTTATAGTGCAGCCAAATTGAGAAGGATTATTCAATTCAATATGACTGTTAATATATCTGGTGATTTGATTTCTATCCAATATGGAAGAAAACTAAAATGAAAGCAACAAGGAAAATGCAAAAAAAATGTGAAACAGATTCAATTTCAAAGGCTTATCAGGATCTAAGCAGTATAGCATTGGCCATCCACCCAAGTAGGCATCTAGCTAAAAACCAATTTAATGTGACATTCTTGAGCGTTGTCCTACAGCTTTTGACAGTGAAGATCCTATGATATTACTCCTAGATGTTTTGTAACCTTTCATTTCCCTGACTGATCACTAAACAATTCTTCTACCTCCTGAAAAATTATCTTTCCATTTTATTTACATGGGTCGAGTCCCTCAGATCAAGAAGATTCATGTGGAATGGGTTATTGCCTTGACCATTTCAAGAAATGATGATACTCTTCTTTGGAGCAGAACCTTCCGTTTCAACTTTAGGTGTAAGCTCGAAAGTCATTAGTCAAAGTTTATTAGAAATCTCCAATGTCAACCCCTTTCTGACCCACAACTGGAAATAAAAACTTTAAAAAGTGGTTAAATGGGGACCCTGTATTGTCTTTTGTTTCCCATATCAACAGGATTGGGTAGGTATTGTTTACGAGATCGGGTGCAATGAAGACTCCACCTTTCTCTCTCCCAAAAGCACACTATCAAACTGGTATGTTAACTTCTTCTTTACTTTGCGTATCTCTCCAGTTTTTCCGTAATTACGAAGGGCACGAGCCATCTTCTGGTAGGTCATCTTTTTGCGGTTGCCTTTCTGTTGACCCCATCGATGAGCAAGTAACTCTTTGTACTTTGATGAAAACTGGAATGTCCCCCTCTCGCGATCAAGCCACCAGATACAATCTCTCATGTCTCCATTCTGCAAGAGCTCCAAGAGGAATTTGTACAGGCGGACCTTCTTTCGTACACCTTTTGACAAAAAAATGTAAGGAATTGATTTAGTATGTTGTAAATAAATGGAGCTCTCACTAAACCAGTAATAGCTCAAACTTTTAGTATGTTCCCTTAACTTTCTATGGTAGAGCTGAGCTAATCTGTAAATATTTGCACAGACGTGCTTAATGGGAAAGTCAACGTGTTGGGTGCAAGGTGGTGAACTTAAAAAAAAAAAAACTAGCATTTTTTTTTTTAATGAAGAAAATATTGTTACAAAAACAGCACAATTAACTATAAACTATCTTACACATTTCGCGTAAAATGTGGGTGACTGGGGGAGTGCGCTTTTTAACGATGGGTGCAGGTTTGGCCATTTTGAGTGTTCCCAAGTCCAAATGTTGTCAAAAGCTTGTGATAATTAGCAGCTACAGTTAGAGAGCTATAAATTATGCTACGAATTTATCGGTCACCTTACTCTTGAAATTTTCATTAGAACTTGGACACATTCCGATAGAGCAATTTTGCTGTATCGCTTTATGACTCCAATATATAATAGTGATTTATGAGCACTTCTATACTACAAATTATTTCCTGTGATTTATGTCACTGCTATATAACGTTGTACGCAATACAGCGAGCAATAAATGGCTGAAGTGATCATCATTTAGCAATGGCCAATCAGATAAGCATGTACGTGATCACTTTACCAGCTTGGTTGTCTGTTATGTTTGTTAGGCTCAAAATTCCAAGCCATGTTCAAAGTCTGGCAGTGTTAGTGCTAGTTTTCACTCATCAAAGGCTAGTGGGCGAGAGGAAATTTTTAACCTCTCAATCCCAACATGTTGTGTTTCCTTATTTAGCATAAACTTTACTGCTAATGATGGTTTCTGGGAGATGTAGTTTAGCTGTTAGTATTCTACAGCAGAAAGACGACAATGAAATCTCTGTAAGCGTGGCCTTTATTAATTTTTGTGGCAATACCTGGGTCATATCCTGGGGACTCTCCTCGAGGAAAGTTCTCATCAGATTCACTGTCCGACACCTCCAGATCAGGGCTGTTCATGTTATGATATTCCTCCTCTTCTGACTGAGAGGGACTTGGCAGATTGCATGTGGATTGGTATTGAAGGTAGGTGGTAAACTGCAAGATGAAAGTCATTATGATCACTTACAGGTCTTTAAGTTGCGAGTTGAAAAATACAACTGTCAAGGTCCCTTCACATTTACATTTGATCTAAGAATTGTTCACCCGTTGGGATAAGGTTATTAAACTCCAATAACCTACAACTTCTTGTATCCCATTTATCATATATATAACTCCCCAATATAAAATACATAACTATAAATACTATGACCCAAATGCCCATATAGATATGTTTATTCATTACAACAGTTATACAAATTACCAGGAATTTATAGCTTATAAAACATTACAATGAAAAGTTTCCTTCTGGTGGAGTATGCCCCCTAGTGGAATAATGAGCTATCTGCACAATGGCCATGTGTGGATCAGTTGTTCCCAATGCAGTCAGCAAGGCCTTTAGGACTGACCACTTATGTGGATTGTACTGACAGAAGTCCATTTTATCAATGCAGATCTGTAAGAGTTTTTCTTATTTTCAGCTACATCCTTGGATGTAGAATATCAGTACTACACTGTCACTCATTTGCTCATTCTTATTGGGATTAAAGTTCATTAGACCCTGTCCAGTATCAAATCAGGGATCATTAAGATTTAAACAGGTATGATAGGTGGTGTAGTAACCAACTGAGCTATCTCATGAGCTCGGAATCTGTGATCAGTTATTTACTAAAGTGAGAATTCATAGTGAATTTCAAATTTCAGGACAGAGTAACCGAATCGAAAACAACCTGAAAGCATTTCGGCTATTGTCACCTTGAATTTGAAATCCACTTTGACTTTTCCCTTGAGTAACTAAGCCTGTTAGAATAGCACAGTCTTTAATCCTCAAAGTGACAAATGGGATTGCTAGCAGTGGCGCACATTAATTATTTAGTGAGAAAGATCACATAACAGAAGACACGTATTTTATAAAATAAAAAGTATTACATTTCAGGCAAATTAGCATTCGTGTGAGTGTCTGGGTATCACACAAACACCATCCTTGAGTAAGCTATTTGCATATAACATCTCATATACGTTTAGGCTTTAGTCCAATTTGTTTTGTAAGGCAGCTTATCTTTTTTGTTTGTTTTTTTTCTTTTTTTTGTTAAATAAAAGTGTCTTTGTTATCTGTAAGAGTCTATGTATGTGTTCTCTGTAGGTTTTTTTTTTTTTTTTTAACAGTAAATGTTACCTGAAGTTGTAAAAATGTAACGCAACTAACAGTCGACTTCCTGAAATACTGCCTTAAATCGGTAATTTAAGCTAAATGTATTATTATTATTATTATGTTGTTTATATAGCGCCATCAAATTCCACAGCGCTTTACAATGGGTGGACAAACAGACATGTATAATTTAGCCAAACCAAAAAATACAATTCTATATACATTATCGTTTTAAAATAATATACAGAAATACATTTTCAGATGACAGCGCCATTGTAATCAAACTTATTTTCTTTCTTACAATATCATCCCAAAGATGACGTGAATGTCTCTTTGAGTATTTTTTTTTTTTTTTACATTAATTTATTACACATATCTGTGAAATATGATTATGTGTGCCGTATCCTCTGGGTAAGGCTAATAATGACGGAATTCAAATTGAATACAAATTAAACTGCTTTTGCATTAATTTGTGTCTCTTCAAGACAGTTAATTCACTTCACTTTTTTGCATTTTAGCTGTTGCTATGTGCATTTGTATGTTTGAATTAGGTTGTTATGGTGATCGTTGTATAATGAATGAATATATCAAATATTTGTTTGAATTTGCTATATGCATTTAAATATTTCCCTCCTACAGATACAATAGCTTACTTGTAAACTGAAAAAAAGACTTGCCCTCAAAGGTTTGACCAAAACAAGGGTGTGGAACTGCACGCAATCCCAAATAGTATGTATCTGTGTGCAACCAGGCCAGTTCCAGTACCAGGAACCAAGCAATTGATAAGGAAAAACCAGAAAACGTTCCAGGCACTCCAAGATACAAAAAAGGCAAATGTATTGAACTCACTGCCACTCAGTGGGTTCAATAAAGTTGCCTTTTTGTATCTTGGAGTGCCTGGACCATTTGCTATTTTTTACCTTACTTTCAAAGGTTATAACAAATTTGGTTTACTGTTTTCTTATGTGCATATATGCAATAAAGCTATGCCATGTTTGAAAATTGTGGTTTTCTTGTTCCATAGTAAGGTTTATTGGACCACTTCTATGCAAAATATAAATTTTTATGAATTGTATTAAACAAATCTGGTAGTTATTGACTCAAGGCATCTTCTGTACACCTTTGCAGTGGAGTAACTTTTAGACCTGTCTAGTTGGTCAGGACTTGAATTTTCGAGCACTGTATAACCAATGGAATGGTTTGTTCTTTAACTATTTAAAGTGTATGGGATCAGAATTTGATAGCTCATTGTATTTTCTCACCTCTGTTCCACAAAAGTCCTCTGGAAGAGGGCACTGCGTTTGACAGGGAACCATCCCATTCAAAGTCTGGATGTTGGCATCTGGGAAGTAGTGGGAATACGGTCCCTGAATGTACGACTCTTGGACGTTCTGAAGGCTTGTCAGCTGTCCAGTTTCACTCTCGTCATAGCATGTTTCCTGAGGATCCATCCAATTCCACAAGAAATCTACATCAAGAAAATGTAAGTCAATAATTGCAAAACCAAGATAATTATAAAGTGTCATTAAATTGCGATACATTCAATGGATCTTTGTTTTAATGTCAAGAGAGCCTATTGTGAATGTGAACTGACCTATGGGACAGGACGTCAGTGGGATATGCTATACTCCAGTTCCAACTTGGTCAATGTCCTTTTATAGTATTTCAAATTATTGAATTTGTAAGTTTTATGCCATAATAACTGAACTGGCAAACTTTTCTGCCTCAGATAAGTTTTAAATTTTGGCATAAAGTTTAAAATTCTCTATTACAATAAGCGAGGGCAAAAAGGTTCAATAGAATAGGGGTGCTGGAAAGGTAGATCTCTGGATGTTTTGTCATTCTAAAGGAATGCAAAGCATACTGGGAGCTGTAGTTCTATAACATCTGTGAATCTACTTTTTGGGTACCCCTGCATTAGAAGTAGTTACTAAAAGTCCTTCCAATGGAAAGGTGCAGCAATCACTGGGGACGCTGTATGTTTGACTTAATGACTTTTGATTTCCAAATCTATCCTCAACCACTGCTGAGTGGTCATAAAGACATAACATCTCAGGGTGTACCCACTGAACTGTTAAATGTGTCATACGGACACTTGAAATATCTTGATCAAAAGATCAAGATATTATTTTGAAATTATTATTTTATTTTTGACATAATTGAGTAACCGGGTCGTGCACTTGTCATAACACAACTTAAGGGATAAAACTCAGCATTTAGTTTTTTGATATTTTGCAACTTGATTAAATCTGTATACTTGTTTAGTAAAAAAAAACACCCATTTTACAGTAGCTCTCCGTAGCTTGATAAGGAGGCTTGAAATGGGGGTAGAGTGGTTCTTTAGAAATGTAAGAATAGATTACTTTTGTTAGATTTCTGTCTAGTAAAAAACACCCTTGTGCTCCCACCTCCAAAACAGCATCACATATCTCACAGACAGACAGAGAGAGACTGTGATAAACTGTGATAACAACAAAACTATCATTTCACTTTTTACACTGAGCTGCTAGCACGCTGTGCAGTAAAATCTGAAATAAACAGGGGCAGGGCCTGACTGCCATGCCGGGCAGACGTGTCTCGCATGAGCTCTGGATTTTTCGGCACTAAATTGCAGATTTCTGCCCAAAAACTCTATGACCAATAACCGCAACGACAGCTCACTTTCTCTAGCGGTAACTGAGTTCAATATAAGTGAAAATAACGAACCGTATGCGGACACAATCCGGAGAGCACCCAGAAAGCGTCAGAAACGCTGGGCTGGTGGGGGATATCCCAGTCTAGGAGGCATCCCTGTGGAGACAGGCACAACCGCACGGTGGCCTCCCAAAGCAGGAAACACAGCGATCTAACCAAGATGGCAGACGCCATGTGCACAGCACAACCCAGAACACAGACCTTGCAAGCAACCACACTTGACAGAATCTTTGAGGACTTCTGGACAAAATAAACTGCAGACTGCAAGCACCCTCCTCGCAGAAGCCGGGCTGTAACTCACCACGCAAGTGGCCCCCGAGCACTCAGCTCCCTCCAACGGCAAGAGCTCCAGGCCGGCGGCATCTCAACAAACACCCCTCTGCCGCAAAACACAAGAAATACCAGGCGGGATTACCGACACTCAAGCAGAGGAGAGGACAGACATGTGCACCAGGCCGCCGACCACCCACAGCCCGAGTACACGCCAGCACACCTGCAAGACGAGTAGCTACCCGACACTGGGCAAAGGTACACGCCACTGCAGCGAGATTCCCTTTCTACTTCCCAATCGGAGAAGGGACACTGCGACAGCACGGAAGGTACCCTAAGTAGCACTCAGTGAGCTACGTAATCGACACCAATCTGGTCCAGACCCTGATGGACTTACACACATGGCTCCAGAGACCCTGCAGAAAAGGCATAGGGTGAAGACTAGCTTGAAGACTGACCTGTTTACTCACTATAGGAGATGGCTCCTGCAAATGAATACCTACTACATGCTAAAATGACTGTCTCAATATCTATACAGTATACAAAGCTAAGCTAATTCAAAGTGCACAGGCTTTATCCTATGTATCATTATATCCACTGTGTTGCTAGCCTAGCCTAGTTATATTCAACATATGTTGTAAAAATGATGCTGCTCTCTTTCCTCATGTGAATTTATCAACCTAACTTTCACACTCATCTTAATGGTTAAGTAACATGTCCCGATGAAATGAACACTTAACTTGCTCACTAGCTCACAACAGACACATATCACGCAGCATGCTATACTCTTATCTATACTGTTGTTTTAATCTTTTATATATGACTAAAATGTGCAGTCTACTCAAAATGCTGACCAACTGTTATGTTATATATGTTATGTTTAATACTGTACTTGCACGTGCTGTTGCCGCATTGCAGGACCAGCTATGTTACTTTCTTGCATGACTAAAATAAAGAATTGCAAAAAAATATATAAAATAAAAAATATTTTTAGGGCAACGTTGGTAATGGCACAGAGGTCGATGCCAATCGTAAGAGGGGCCTATTGTGACAGGTGTATTTAAAGGACCACTATAGTGCCAGGAAAACATACTCGTTTTCCTGGCACTATAGTGCCCTGAGGGTGCCCCCACCCTCAGGGACCCCCTCCTGCCTGGCTCTGGGGAGTGGAAGGGATTAAACACTCACCTTTCTCCAGCGCCGGGCGGGGAGCTAACCTCCTCCTCTCCGCCTCCTCTCCTCCTCTTCGGCTGCATGCGCGGCAGGAGCTGCGCGCACATTCAGCCAGTCTCATAAGAAAGCATTTACAATGCTTTCCTATGGACGCTTGCGTCTTCTCACTGTGATTTTCACAGTGGAATGGTATTTTCACAGTGAGAAGCACGCAAACGCCTCTAGCGACTGTCAATGAGACACCCATTAGAGGCTTTAGAGGCCGGATTAACCTATTTATAAACATAGCAGTTTCTCTGAAACTGCTATGTTTATAAAAAAATGGGTTAACCCTAGCTGGACCAGGCACCCAGACCACTTAATTAAGCTGAAGTGGTCTGGGTGCCTAGAGTGGTCCTTTAAAGAGCTTAAAAGGCAAGTTTAAAATCTTTTTATATTGTAGCACGATCTTTGATCACAATACAAAGTGCAAATATTCTGATACCTAAAAATAGAATATACAGAAGAAAGAGGGAATAAGACAGACAGGAAAAAGGTCTAAAAATTAAATGATATAGGGATTCACCAAAAAAAACTATAAAAACAATGCGAATAATGTGTTGCACTATATAAAATAGTGCAGAATTTGCAGGAGCTTATAAAGCAGATGAATTAAAATGGATAAATATAGAGTAAACAGAATGTAATCTTATGTTTCAAACATCGGTATGCTGGAATGTCCAGAGGAAATATATACGGTATAGGTATTCTTATCCTGATTGAGAAAATAACACAGGATAAATGGTAAAACAGAAGAAAAATAATAATAAAAGATGTCCATGTACATGGAACTGGTTGCTATAAAGCAATATGTTAAAAAATATCGCTAGAACGAGAGTTTACTAAAAACCAGTTTATTATTGATCACAAAATACCCAGAACACCAGGTGACAGTCAGTTCTGTCATCTTTGAATAAATGTCACACAATACCCTCCAACAATGAAGGAGCTAAGCCAAAAATAAGTTATAAGCATGTTCATAGACAATACCACTACAGTTATGGATTTCTTAAACAAAAAGATATGGGTCAACACAGTGGGTCAGGACAGCAAACCCTTTGTTTTTAAAGAGCTGACGCAGAGCCAGGTCCCGTTCTCCATGCACTATTTTTGCAAATTCCCGAGAGGAATATTTGCATGACATCTATGGGGCTGACAATGACTTTGTGTTTTTACTAACAGGCATGAGATTAGGAGACAAGGTGAGTCAGATTCAGGGCAATAAACCATCGCAACCAGGCAAATCCGCTTTCAATGAATTGCTCTTTTTTTTTAATAACATTTTTAAAAAAATTAAAAGTAATCTATATTGAGCTTGAAATATCTAAATAACGGCGCAATCATTGATCTTATATATGAGGGTGACTACAACTTGTGAGGCTACATTATTTTTCAAAGAAGAAAATAATTAAATATATGTAAGATACTGAGACACTCTATAGACTTAGGATTCCCAGTGTGGAGATAACATGTGGCAACCTAGATAAGTCCCAGTGTGGAGATAACACGGACTCCTTCACAATCAGAATTAAACTCTGACCAATCTACAGATAGATTTATAGAGGTTATTAAAGCTGTTTTTTCATTGTTCCTGCTTACTATTCCTTGATACTGGGCTCATTAACTGTGTAATAGAGAATTAATATCATCTGCCTTTTGGGTAGCATATTATTTTTTTATGACCAAGTAGTGATGAGTAATAGTCACTCAGATGGTAATCACAGACAAGTCGGGCATCCCCCTCTATAGAACTTTAGTTTCTATTTTCCATCACAAGACATACTGTATTTGGCCCAGGTGGCAAAAGTCATTATTTTCTACATTTTTTTGTACAATCTTTCCAGCTTACCCTGAATCTTTGCCAAGGAAGATATTTTTTAAGTTGGATGTAAAGCAGAGAATTACCAAAGGGCCTTTTCAGTAAAGGGCTCTTTGCTATAGATCCCTTTCGGGTCTCAGTAAAGGGGTAGGAGCTTTAGATACCCTAAGGGTTTCAGTAAAGGATCGGGGCTGTAAAACCCCTGAGGGTTTCAGTAAAGGGATCAGGGCTATAGATCCCATGGGGGATTTCAGTAAAGGGATCGGGGCTACAGATCCCATGGGAATTTAGTGAAGGGATTCCAGTTCCTGGGTGTGATGCCTGACCTTCCCTCAGTCCTCCTGTTTCAACAGCCCGGATCTTCCGCTCAGAGTTGGCTAAAATGAGGGAAACTACAGACTGATGATCTCTCCGGATCTGTGACTAAGCCCTATGGCAAAATCGTGTAAGATCTGTTTCCTTGTGTGTGGTTATGGTTGCCATAAACACCATGTTTCCTGGACACAAAATATTATCATGCTGATTGACGACATATGAAAACGTTGCCCTATAGTATGTGCATTTTACATCCTGTAGGATTACTGATTGACTTATCACCTGATTTACTACCTGCAGCATGTGATTTCCACATACTAAAACTCGGCACTCTCCATATGTTGCCCATTTATCTGTATAAGTGACATATGTCCTGCTAAACCTGGTGAAGCTGGTATTCTTAGACGGTAAAATAAATTGTTACTGATTTTAATGATTCGGAAATAAATAAGAATTTTAAGCCTATTGGCAAGTGTTGAAATGCGCAGAGTTTAACACACTGTCCTCGAGCTTGTAATGAAATCCAGGGAATATAAGTCCATACATGAGTGATGTGGGCAGTGTATCGGCAGCCCTGATTGGTTGCTCTGCCCAGCATCCTATCACCCTGGCGCTAATGTATGCCAGAATGGTGCCCCCACTTTGTGTGCCCACCGGCTATCCATGCCCCCTTTTATCCCCCCTGTTTCCTGATATCCAGCTTGCTAAAGTTGGCGGGTCTAGAAACTCAGAAATCTACAGAAAACGTTCAGAAAACATTGATTTTTATTTTGCTGTTTCTATAATGACATATTTAACAATTACAGAAATCTAAGTGAGCAGTAGAACTTACCTGTGTGAGACTCGGGTTCATTTATTTGAGAGAAGTTATTGGGATATTTTGGAAAAGACTCCAAGCAGTGGAAAATTGTATCCGAGTACTAGGAGAAGAGAGAGGAATTTTAGTTAGTATTTTTTCCCATTAGTGGATTCAGGCTAGAAGCTTACAAAACAGAAAATGCTTTTGCTAAAATACACGGGAATTAACTATTTTCTAAAAAGTTCAACAATCAGGTTTTGGGAAGCTGAAACTCCTAACCTTGAAAACAAAACAATAAAGGATTACGGAAATGTTCAAGAGATTAGCATTTTGACGTGGGAGGAATATGAGAAATTGCCACTTCACTAAAAAGGTAGTGGACGCATGGAGTAGACTTCCAATGGAAATAGTAAATTTTATTACAGTAAAGGTATTCAAGCGTGCTTGGATTGGCCTTGAGATAGAGTTTCTAGGCCAGTTATTGCCGTTGGTACACTTTAATCCCACTCCTCTAACAATTCACCTTAAAAAGACACGTCTTTTGTCCATAATGAGTAGGCTTACTTAACAATGATGCAGCTCTATGAAAATAGCACCGTAAAACCTCCACAAAGTAATTTGTAGCATTAAAAAGGACACCGATAAGGTCAGTTTAAGGTCGGTAACCTTTCGGAGTTAGGAGAGGTTTAGGTTTGGGGTAAAATGAGAGAGTGTTGGGGGTAGGAGTTAAGGGGGCTTAGAGATAAGTTGGACTTGGAGTATACCTGCCTTTCAGGTGCTGTGGACTGAAACTCTCATGGTTCTCAGCCAACAAATAGCGTATGACTACTGCAATTCCCTATTTATCTTTGACTTTTTTAACTTGACTTTAAAAAAGTGATTTGTACTATAGGCAGACCATAGATAGCAGTTTAGATATTTAGATAGATAAATATCATACAAAGCTGCGGAATTTGTTGGCGCTTTATAATTATCAAAAATGATCGTAACATAGATGTATTATGAAACCTCTTTCTGCATCGGCATTCATAACCTGCCTTGGAAGACTTACAGCTTTATTATTTTAAAGGGTTTGCCCTATAAAATACGTTATTAACATTATAGCCTACTCATTACTGTGAATTCATCATTCAATGTAATAGTCAGGCTTCGCAGTGACACTGATAACAGGGAGGTTAAGGGTGGGGAAGACTTGATGTAGGTGGAAGTGATATCTTTTCGATGAATTTCCTGTCTCCAGAAAGTTACACGCAATGATGGCTATCTAGCAGTCAGCTGTCTAAAGCGAGAGGCCTTTGCAAGAACACACAATAATATAAAAGCCATAGACATCAAGTGTACAAATCCACGGACCAAGCTTGAAATTTAAAATAAAGACACTTACCCCACCGTTAAATGGCACACTATCAAATCTAAGGGGAAAAAAACAAACAAAAAAATAGTCAGCACGATATCAGACATTTAAAAAAAATCCTAAATCTTATGTTTACTTAATAAATTAGTGTCGGGAATGCAGGTTGTCATGGTGTATTGCGAGGTGGGGGGGATCAATGCTAAAGGGAATTTATTTTGTTAATTATAACTTAACTACCTTATACATGAATAATCAAGTCACTTTAATAGTTTATATTATCACATGTTGCACAGTGTGTTTTTTCTTGTTTGTTTGGCTTTTTGTTATTGTTACAAACAATAGACAACCTCGACACTTAGTATTTATGATATGTGATTTATACACAGAATCATTATATTTAAAATGTATTATTTTAATATTTTTTTCCACCCTGTAGCTCTAGCACTTGTCTTCCTTCTAAATGTGTTGTAGTCGGTGTCAAACTCATTTCCTCTGTGACTTTAAGCTGTTACAATGTTCTGATATAAATCAGCAAAATGACTAAATTAAGCATCTTGAGGCATGCAGTTTATATTCCTTAGTGGGTTCTCAATAGAATTTTGTGAAAAGTATATCTCCGTAATCTATTGCAAATAAGATTAACAATTTGTTATGATTTCATATATAATTTAATATAGTCATATATGTATATTCAATTGAAATCACACACATCACAAACACTGCTGACAAGAGGTGTAATTTCTTTACACTTAAAAAAAAGTCCAACATAGGTCTCGATTTAATATTTAAGGATAAGCTGTTCAAATGATTTAACATTTTTTAATACACTTTAAAAAAAAAAAAAAAAAATCTAAATATAGAAAAACATCAACATATGTTAAAAATAAAATTAGATGAGGGGCGGAGCCTGACTGCTGAACAGATCAGACGTGTCTCGTCTGAGCTCCAGGATCTGGGCCAGAAAATCGGAGCCAACTCGGTGCCACATGCCGCTACCAACTCCAATTGGACCCCAAACTGTCCACAAGATGGGGACACACAAGATGGTACCACACATAATATGGTACAGCACCGGAGTAACCCGACCAAGGCCTGGGGCCTACGAGAGCTTGAGCCGGGGAGGGACGGCCGCCCCCCCGGGTCTCCGAACAGCGTCCTGCGATCCCCCCCCCCCTTTGGACCGGTGGGGGTTATCCCGGTCCCCACGGGCGACCACCAATGTCGTCTGCCGAGCCCAAGCGCAAACAGGGCCGCTGAGCACAAACTGGACGGAGCGCTCCAAAATGGCGGACAGCGTGCAACCTCATGGGCAAACAAAGAATGTCCCACCGAGTCCTGCAGGGACCATGAGGTGGAAGTACTGGCTGGCAGCCCGCAAACCAACAACCTACCCTAAGCTACGAGAAACACCGACAAGCAGCTGTATGTCGGTAGACAAAGAGCGGGAATCGAGGAAATTCTCCCCGGACGCCAGTGGTACACACACCATGCAACCTTATTGCACAAGCACTCACAGACTGCAGCCGCCCAGAAGCTTCAACCTCGAACGTCTGCTCCAGTCGCGGCGGACCCGAAAGCACAGGAGGAAGCGACATACTGGGTTCCATGCCAGCACCTATGCAGCCTTCAAAGAAAGCACTCAACCCACGAGCCGCAGACCCACAGGAGTGTACACGGCTACGAAAGAAGCCTGCCGGGTCTTTTCTACCGGGTCCCCAGAGACACTATATGCCCAATTCAAAGGCTAGACGCTTTTTCTGGACACTATGTTGGACACTTAGACGCTACTCCAGTGTTACACATAATTAAACAAAACGGTACCAACAGACGCACAGACACCAGGACTAACACAGCAACAAACCAGCACAAAATAGGCAGAGACACACATATGCACAACCCAAGACACTACTCAAGACAGACACGCACTACCGCTGACAACTACAGTACACACAAGCCCTGACAAACTCATCTGATACTAACCAAGAAGACCCCAGACCTGTCCAGGAAAGTGAAGGCAGACTAACACCACACAATCTATGATGGCGCCCGAGGTAGACCAAGCTAGAGTTAAACCACTTTACCCAAGCGATACGCTAGAAACCATACAACCATTTGCTTAGAACCTATACACGTGTAACTATTAACCAGGCAAATCTCAGTGAAACCAAATGTAACCTAAAATATACCTGTGTTCATGCTCCCACTGTCAAATCTGTCAATACTGGCGATGATTATAACAGGAGCACCACTTGCCTAAGCTTAATACTCTACTATTACCATTATAAAAATTGTGCAGACATTAATGTGCCATATGTGAAATATATGTTGTAATTGTGTACGTGACTGCTATTGTGGCACCACGGCTCATTTGTGAAATCTTGCACACAAAAATAAAGAATTTAAAAAAAAAAAAAAAAAAAAATAAAATTAGTTTATCCACATATTAAAATATATTTTCAAATTTAAATTATTTGAAAATCTTATCCAAAAATATTAAATTAAGGACATATCTTAAACAAACAAGCATCAAAACAAAGCTGGGTACATGTTATGATTAATTCAGTTAAAATATACTGCTGATTAAGCATTGTTTTACATTCTGCCTTACACAAATCTAAAACCCACATAATAATTTATAAACGTGAAAAAAGAAAACACAGAACGTAGTGTAATATATATATTGCACTATATTATACATCTCTCTTTTTTTGTGATTAACACAGATTACAGCAGGAAAAAATGCGTGACAAAGAAACATTTTGTACACATATTAATTAGTAATAACGGTGGTAGTTTTCTACCATTAATTACATGCCGACCTTTTTCGGTCAGGTATGAACAATTCACCATGTATATGGTGTTTAACAGTAGTTTGGTAAAACATATAATAATAATCATAGTTCGGTTACGATTGGTTGTTTTTGGCTGAGTGTAAGTTATACAATTTTAGTTAGGGTTGAGTTATACATCTCTTTTTTTGTGTTCTGATGAGTAACATTCATAGGACTGGCACAATTTAGACGGATCAGAAAAATGTAGTGGAGTAACTAGGGTAAAATCTGCTTGTATTGCCAGCTTTGTGGAAATCGGAGCCCTATCAATGTGACCAGGTACAATAACTAGTTACTTCTACTTTAACAAATCTATATAGTGGAATTGGTCACTGTGTATCTAACAGTATGTAAATAACTGTATGTGAAATATACACTGTAAATCACAGGTAAATGCGGTTTGTTATCACCGCATCTAATGCACTGGAATTTTGAAATGTTATCTCAACCTCCTTTAACAGAGCAGAACAATTCTCTGTTGTCTGAATATATCCCTACTGCACCAAACATGTATTACTATCCAGTGCTTCTTTGATCATTCATACCCTCAACCATTCTTTAAAGTGCCATAGTGCTCTCAATATCCTGTCCACACTTTTTGTCCTTCTTTAATTTCATGTCTCAACCTCCCCCCCCTTTATTCCCTCTTTTTTTTCTTTTGGTTCCAGCTCTCTCTAATACCTTCTCTATTCCAACTCTTTGTCTCCTATTATTCCAGCTCTCTACCTTTTTTTATTCCCACTTTTTTTTCATTAATCACACCAGTTCTCCCAATCCATTTTTTCCCATCCTGTTTTATTCCCACCTTTTTCACAATTGTCTCCAATCTCATTTTGTCTTGCTCCTTTAATTTTAGTTCAGAAACCCAACCCCACTTTTTATTTAGAAATATCTCTCCTCTTCCCCCCAGCCCCCACACCGCCCTCCCCTTTTTGTATCATGGGATGTAGCGCAATGTATGAAGAGTCACATGTCTGTCTGTGTTGTACTGTTACCCTTTTGCCTAATAATAACAGGGAACGATGAGTAACATTTTACATTGTTGGGCATTTTGCCCTGCTTTAGAGCTATTGGTATTGTCGAAAACATAGGGGGAATTTGTGGTTTTTAAATGAGTCCCAGAGTGTTTTTGAAGGACTCTCAATAAGTCGTAACAGACCGTTCCATATAATGAACCCATACGTTGCTGGAGTTGCTGACCTCTCCAGCACCTGATGGGTTAAGGCCCTTCACAGCTCAGTGATGACTTAAACATTTAGGTTCCGTTTTCTAAGAATACATGATATTTTCATTAGTCAGTAACAGCACTGGAGACCATTGAGTCTGCTTATGGAAACTTCCACTGGGCCTTGCATGAGGGAGTCTGTCTAAGCCATGTGTGTCAACCCTCCTCGAAACACTAGGTCATGGGTTACAAATATTCCAGTTGCCCACATTAGCTCTCAGTCTTCATGTATGATGGCCCTCGGGGGAGCATGTTATGAATTGAGGGAAAGCAAATTAAGACCTAAAATAATTCTGTTTTACCACACTGACATTAAACCTTATCACCTCCACAAGAAGCAACATCTCTACAATATATATATTTTTTACTATGTCTAAATTTACAACAGCTTGCTGAACTCCATAGGAAATAGCAGACAGCACCTTCGCTCAACTCTAAATTAAGAGGAGATAGCAAAACCACAGATATACAAGCTAACAGTCAACACTTGGGACTTGGAGGAGGAGGGGATGCTACCATGGTGTTCCTGCATCATTTAATTCTCAAAGTGTTTTTTTTTTTTTTAGTTATTGTGTCTATTCAACAATTTTGTGTTAGTCTTTAATAGTTTACCGATCATCCTCAATAGTTTAATAACAGCGACAAAAATTATGTTAACACAAGAGACCAATTTTTTGTAATACTGGCCAAGCAAAAGATATTTTAATTTTAAAAAATGTCTGTTGATTGAAGACCATATTACAAAATGTAAAGTTACAAAGACCATATTGTTTTCATGGCACCAGTCAGGGGTAGGCAACCTTCAGCATGCCAGACGGTGTGGACTACATATCTCATAATACTCTTACAGCCACAACTCTTCCAAAGCATCAGGGGAGATGTAATCCACAACTCGTGGAATTCCGGAGGCCCCTAAGGGGCTTTGAAATAGTATCAAGTCAGTGGAACAACAACCTGCCAATGAAAACGTTTTTCTATACTCCGTGTACAGATCCACCTGATTCCTTAACTCACCTAACATAGTGTTTATTTTTCTTATGAAATCAACCTTCCTACAAGGTAACGCACTAAACTGGGCATTCTATGGAATTCAAAGTAACTTGATGAATTTCAAATTGTAGGGTAAAGTAGCCAAATCAAAATATAAACATAGTTGACTTGGAGAAATTATTTTTGAAACATTTTCAAATTCACTGAATATTTGGCATTTTCAAGGCGACCACTTAAGTTTGTAACAGTTTGAATGGACTTAGTGGTGGATAATAGTGAATTTAAAAAAAATATATATTATTTTTCAACATTTTTTAAAATTTAATTTATATTTTGAATTACAGATAATACACCAGGACATATGAACCTTCATAGCTCTCAGCACATCAGAAACACAAATGGCATATAAGGTGCTATAATAACGTCCTGTTTATCCAGAGCAAATGGACATATAAATGTTTAAAGTTCAGGAATTGAAAGTGAATTTAAAATGTTAGGCCCTGGTAGTCAAATTGGGCAAATATAAATTATTCAGCTCACCTGTGTTTCAATTAATCTGTTTTGTCCTAAAATTTGAAATTCTGACTTTTCAAACTTTGTTTATGCTTTTATTCTCTAAACACCAATATGATCTGAATTTACAGTGGGATTATAAATTTAGGCAAAATAGTCGGTTTGAAGAAATTGCCAAACTATTTTTTCAACTGTTTTAGCCTAGACTTTGCAATTTTGCTGTCAATACACTAGTTATTGTTTTTTTTATATATATAACCTAAAAAACCCATTTAGTTTACATTCCAAATTGGCCTCCAGGGGGCGTCAAAATAATTTTTTGTTTATTGATTTTTCACATGCCTGTAAACCTGGTCTAGACAACTGTAAGTCAATTAGCTGTTAATGCACTTCAACGCCTGGCTGTAATTGATGAGGGTTGCAGCTTGAAGGCAGCTGTAGGCCCTGCAGTCACAAAACCCTTGGATTAGCTGAAATCTTATCACATCAACTCTTTCCCCGACCAAAGATAATATTTCTGGTGATAGCACAAACGACCATCATAAAATATTTAAACATTCACAGTGGTGCCTGTTAAGTTTACAGACGTTATTCATATGAGCCACGCGTGATATGGTACAGTGCAAAAAAAAAGTTATTTTATGATCAAAAAGTGATGATTTTGGCTTAACCCTTTAATGCTACTGTTGTGACAGATTGGCATCTTTGGTTCTCATTTCTAAAGGAGGCCACTAACAGACCATGATGTGGGTGGTATAATGATGATCGTGTTCTAGGAATGCACTAACAGTGAGTAAACTGGGCATCCCAGAGAAGTGTCTTGCTCAACATGGCATTGAACTCTATATGGAGATATTTCTCTTGGCAAAAGGTAGCACAGCTTTTAAAATACCTTTTAATTACAGAGACAAACCATAGGAACCAACAAACCAAGAATCCATAACGCCTAATTCTCTCTGTTGTTGATGGTAATGTCTACAACTATTTAGATGTACACCGTCGTTCTTAAAATAAAAGCTTTACTGTAAAATAAGGCCGTTCAACTCTTTAATTCTACAAATTGTGGTAGTTCAGGGCAATGTATTCACTAAATAGCAAACTGACTATAAATACAGAATTTACAATTTTTAGCCCAAATTAGCCAACTGGAGAATTCAGTAGTATTTCAGAAAGTTTCCATCCCAGCTATTTTGGACATAATATGCAAATCTGTCTTTCCATTCATCGCACTTCACAACTTAGTGAATAAACTCCTTAGTCTAACACACTTTCTAAATTTAGAAATTATAGAAAATTCAATTAAAAAAATAATAATAATTAGTTCAGCCAAATAATGTGCAATTTTGGCCACAGTAACAAAATCACAACTTATTTAATTACTAAATTCAGGAGATGCCCCTCAAATATGTTAAACTGAATATTAGTGTAATAGTATTGTTATATAATGCCATAATTATCTACCTGGCATCGTTAGCCCTAAACTTATGTTAATACATTTTACAAGGGACGATAACTAGAATTTTTAAACAAAAACTACTGTTAATTATCATCTTCTTTTTTGGCAAATGAACATATTTGCTTTTTGTGTTGTGATCAATATTTTGGGAATCATTAATGAGAGCATTAATGGGTCTTTATTCACCTATGTCACACACACACAAAAAAGACTATGCAAGATACTATACGACCTACGTATATGAAAACATTTTAAATGTAATGATTACTGTATTCTGTCAAGAGAAATCAACATGTTTGCTAAAATATGCTACTAGCAATTTGAGTTAACTTTACCAAACGCTTAGCAGTGCTAAACAAACAGTTACACGGGCTACACAGACCCCTAGCTTCCCTCCAAACAGTAAGTGTAAAAAAATAAATGAATTAATTAAAAACAAAAACAAAAAAATTGTGGTTGGTTCTCTGGTTTTAAGTTGTAACGTGATACTTAGACATCGAAAAAAGAGAAGTAATATATGTTTCAATAGCAGATAAACAACAAAAAAGATATAATACTTGAAGTTATCACTTACTGTAGCGAGTCCATGGGCATTTTATGACCAGTTTGTAGAGTCACTGGGTTAAGTGACATGCACCGCTCAGGATCTTAGCTGAATAAAAGCACTTAGCAACTTTACAGAGTATTTTAGATTATCTGCTCAACTTTAAAGGCTGTCCTTGGCTTTTTAACTTCTTTAAGGGGGCGGAGATATGACATCATCTCAAAAGTTCCCTATCATGCAGCCCAATAGGGGAGTAGTTTGGATTTCATAATCATGAAATGTATACAGTGAATTCTCTACAGTAGTCTGACTGTGCACAAGGGGAAAAATAAACTCCAGGTAGTCCTCTTTTTTTACCTCCTAGTTCATTGATTCAATGTCTGGTGGTAATTAGAATGTTTCTGATTATTACAAATGTAGTGTTTAATGCTTTTCATGAAAGATAACTGTGTATCTTTCGGTGAACTAAGCAGAATTATGCTGTGCCATTTTTAATGTGTTCTATTTTTGCCCTATAAATTAAGGGATGTTTTGGTAATTCTGCTGTAAATTTGAGCATTGATCGGCAACTTTGGTATTTGAGATGTGGAGTAAAACTTGTATTACGCTCCAAAATTAGACTTCACTCATCAAAAGTTGAAACTGTATATAGCAACCTGTACGGAGTGATTTCAATTTTTTATTTTTTTTATTTTATAAGTGCCCCTAACCAGAACACTATTAAATAAATAAATAAATATATCTGTCAAAGCCAGAAGATGACGCCTTTTTTTTTTATATCCAAATTACAGCATAGAAATAAAAAGGCTATAGCAGGTAGAATAAGTTACATTTATTTCTCAGTAAATATGACTGTTTTTTTTTGTCTTAGTTCACCTTTTATATTCTGTTGGTGGCCCTATATAGTTTCACCTGTACTTTGGTTATAGAACTTTTCCAGAGTTCTTTGTTCTAGTATCCAAATCGTACATACCATTCCCTAATCTCTGAATGTTAAGAGTGCTGTTTGCCAGTGACGTGAACCAACTGTGGTTTTGCCAGAGCCACACTGTAGGCTCATCCGCACGTGAGTGCGTTATTGCAAAGAGGGAGCCGACCAGAGGTAAACTAAGAAAATAAACCCAGCAAAAAAAAATCTAGTGGAAATGTCTTACCAGTAAATGATGGTAAATGCTCATTTTGTCGGGGAGCTGAAATGATTTCCCCTCCAAAATACTTATGCACGGACAGGTAAATGGATCCTACAAGGGGTTATTACTGGCAAAAACGCCTCAACATAAAAGTTCATGAAAACTAGCAATACCTTCATTAATCTTTCATAGAAAACGAGCTTGAGCAACAGGGTTAGCAAGAAAGGGGAGGGGGGGTTCAGCAACTGGCGCATGTCATACTATAATACACTTTGTCAAAGAGCTAGGTACTTTATGTCGCAAGAAAGAATCAGAATATGACTCGTTTCCCTCCCAGTTGCCCCTTTGCTTCAGTTCACTGCTTGCTGTAGTTTGGATCGTGCCAGGAGCTAAGCCCTGCACCGCAGTGCTAGCTCGGCGCACTGAGATTCAGACCCGAGTAAGTTGTCAAACTATTTGCTAACACTTTGACAACTTTCCCCAGGAGGGCACTTTGGGCATCACAAGAACTGCCACGCGCTGTAGTGGTTATGCTGCTTGGAGTGTCATTTAATACAAATTAACAAATTAAACATAGTTGTATATCCCGTTGGAAGGAATTTTCTTTTACACGATCCAATGTTAAGAAGATAAGAGCCAATGGAAGGGGATACCTCAGGATACATTACTCTATAAAATATATTACTCAAGGTATTCAAACCCCTTCGCGATTTTTTTTTTTTTTTTTTTTTAATTTGTGGGAAAAAAAAAGTTTTTGAAAACTTTGCAAACGTTTTAAAATGAAAAAAGTGAGCAATTGACGGAGAAGGGCCTTGGTTAGAGAGGTGACCAAAAACCAGATGGTCACTCTGGGTGAACTGCAGAGATCACGTGGGTGGATGGGAGAAAATTGTGGAACTGCAACCATCAATGCAACGCTCTACCAATGTGGTGTTTATGTCAGACTGGCCAGACAGAAGCCTTCCCTCATGGCAAGACACACAAAAGCCTCTGACTGTGAGAAACAAGATTCTCTGATCGGCTGAAACAAAGATTGAATTCTTTTCAAAGCATCATGTCTAGAAAAAACAGGCACCATGCTCCACCTGTGTAATACCATCCCAATGGTGAAGCATTTTGGTGGTAGCATCATGCTATGGAGGTATTTTTTAGCAGCAGGGACTGGGAGACTGGTCAGGGTGGAGGGTAAGCAGAACAGAATAAAATACAGAGATATCCTTAATGAAAACCTGTCCAGAGCACTCTGGACCTCAGACTGGCCTGAAGGTTCATCTTCCAACAGGGCAATGATCCTAAGCACACAGCCAAGACAATGCAAGAGTGGCCTATGGACCACTCTGTAAATGTCCTTGAATGGCTCAACCAGAGCCCAGACTTGAACCCAGTTGAACATCTCTACAGAGACCTGAAAAAGGTTGTCCATTAGCTGTCCCCTTCCAACCAGACAGAGCTTGAGAGGATCTGGAGATATGAGTGGCAGAAACTACCCAAATCTAGGTGTGCAAAACTTACATTATAACCCTAGGTATCGAGCTATAATTGCAGCCAAAGGGGCTTCAACTAAATACTGAGTTGAGGGTCTGAATACTTATGTCAATGTGACATATGAGTTTTTTTTCTGTTTAATATATGTGTAATGGTGTCACAAATCAGTTTTTTGCTTTGTCATTATGGAGTATTGAGTGTGCGTTTAAAAACCAAAACAAGAAAATTCAATAATTTAAACAATTGTACCATACAAAAAACTAAGGGTTCTGAATACGTTCTCAAAGCACAATATTTCTTTTTTTTTTTTTTAGTACTACACTACAGACAGGGTTTGCTGATTTGCATCCCCACCCATCTAGGATAGAAACTGAGTGCCCATGAAATGACAAAAAAAAAAAAAAAAACATTTAATTTTAAAAAAAAATTTATTTAAAAAATAATGTACTCACAATATATCACAAGTGCAAATGGGTTTATGGTTAGACCAGGATCTCCAATTTCCTGTCATTTCAGAAGAACTAATGGCCAACAGATAGGGTTGTGTCAGATCTTGTGAAAGTTCAGCATTCTTATCTTCTATTTGCATTGACAGGAGATAAGTGTACTGGAGAGTGGCCCTAAATTGCCACACAGACCATCATTTACAAAAGATTTTAAACCAACTAAAACTAATTGGTTATTTGTCAAACAATAATGAAATAATCTTCTAGATCCCAAGCCACCAAGGTAGAATATTTACATCATAGGACCCAAAACAACGTTGGGCTCATTGAGTAAAATGAGAATTGCGGAATAGTGATAAATTAAAGGCTAAAATGGGCAAATTGAAAAGTCTCAGAATCGGCTATTTTTCCTTCTTGGCTATTTTGACCTAAAAATTCCAGTTCCCTTATACTTCTTCACAATTTCCACTTTATTCACTAAACTCTTTAAAATCTGATTCAGCTGCAGTAAGCAATGCTCAGGGATCAATGTATTTATTAATGAACAACCAATATATATGAAATTGAACAACATTTACACTTTTATAGATAAGTAGAAAATGATACAGTACCGAACAACTGTTCTGTGTGCAGGCCTGGAATATTAAACTGGAAAACTGGGCAAGTGAGCGCTGGCCCTTTATGGGTTAGTGGGGAAATAAAAAAACTCCCTCACCAGTCCATTGCACACATGGGCAAAACATGGGACCTGCATCTCCTGCACACGCACATTAAACAGACATCACCTCCATCCCGGCACCCTGGGTCGTGGTAGCAAGAAAATAATTCTTTATTATAACATTATTTCTTAAAGTCTCAATGTTTCAGTTCAACTTGTGAATGTTCCGTAGGACATGAGGAAGCTCCTGAGGAAAGTTCACAAGTTGAACTGAAACATTGACACTTTTTGGAAAAAAAATTATAATACAGTTTATTTTTGTTTAGTTTTTTTGCTACAAAGACCCAGAATGCCGGTATGGAAAGGGTTGTGTGTGTATATATGTACATATATTGTATTAATATTATTATTATTATAATTAAAGTTTTGCCCCCCCCTTCGTAGCCACAAGTCCCTAACTCCATAAATATATAGCCCCTACACGGGCACATACACATACCCTAAAGCCCCTGGGCTTGTATACACTACAGCTGCTATATCTGTTCAGGCAAACTACAGCCCCTGCACACATATATATATATACACACATACACTACCCTCTAGAAACACACACAACACCCCATAGACAAAAACATACACTGCGCCCTCTAGACAAACACACACTCTCTCTACAGCCCACAGACACACACACACACACACACACACACACTTTGCAGTCTGTGCACACATTTATTCACTACTCTCTAGCCACATATAGTACACCACGGATCGCTTTAAATACATACCACCAACAGCTGCCTCTACACACAAACCATCTCACAAGCACTCTGCACACATGCACTAATCCCTTCACCAACCAGACCGACCTTCTTCCTCTGGTATCCAGAGGCAATTCCCCAGTAAAATCAGAAAAAACATTTCTTGTGCTGTGTAGAACAGAAACAGGGCATTTCCCTTTGCCAGAGCACTTTAGCAGGACTCTGTGCATTTGCTCCCATGGAGGGTCATGAACCTGACATACTCACATTGAGTAGATATGCATTGTTATTGGAGATTATATACATGTCCTCTTTCCGGCTTGGACCCTCCTGTGCATCTCCTCTTTCTTTATATTCCCAAGCCGACCCTGACTGTTTGGGTGCTGTAACAAGATTTACCATATAATTATTGAACGTTGCAATTGATCTTTATAAAGGGAGGGCTGGCAACCTACAGCCTGGAGGACAGATTAAAAGCCATAGTCCTTTTTTGTGAGCAAAAATCACAAATGTTGGTGTGAAAGGTTCTGCTCCTGCAGAGTATGCATTATATATGGATTTGACAGATGACGGTACCAATGGCAAGACACGTGGTATAATTGCTATAATAACTGTCTCATCTAGCTCTGTGGGTCCCGGCCCAGGAACTGAAGCCCACCAAGAAATATCCCAGTGGGCCAGTCCAGGACAACTGGTGAT